GCCGGTCTGTATGTGGGATCCGAACCCTCGGCGGGAGCGCCGCCGTGCTTCCTAAGCGGCGCACTGTAGCAGTGCTCCACCGGGCCGGCCTGTCAGGAATTTCTGAGGCGCTTTTAGCTGTGGCTTGTTCACAAACACGGGCACGCTCTTTGCCAGCCTCCCATCTTTGAAGTCAATTATGTCCCTTTTACTTTTCTTGTGCACTTGAGAGCTAGAAAGGCAAACATTTAGTGATGATTTTTCTGGAACCCATTTAATGGGGATACTTTTCCTCTCAGGAGAAAAACCAGGCGACAACCAGGTGACTAGTTGACAGGACAGCTTTTATTTTCTAAATTATTATATTTTCTTATTTTGTTTCTATTAAAATGGAAATACCTGTGTTTTCCCTGATAATTCAATACAAGTTACGGAGAAGATATAGAGATGAAAGTTACAGCCCCTGTATTTTTGTGCCCTGCTCAGAAGAATAAAAACATGTATAATACATACAAGTCTTTCCAGACTTTTGTATTACTTTTTTTTCCTTTTATAAGTTTTGTATCCTAAATAAATAAGTAAGTAAGAAAAACATTGATTTTTGGTGGCTGGCCCATATAGGCATTGAACCCTGGACCTTGGTGTTATCAGCACTGTGCTTTTACCAACTGAGCTAACTGCCAGCCCTTTAAATATTTTTTTTCACCAGCTTATAACTTGGACATTGTACCTTATTAATATATACAGATCTGCTACCTTTCTTTTAATAGCTTGAAAATAATTCTATATTATATATGTACTATCATTCATTTAATTTTGTTCATCTTTTTCTTCCTTAGTACCATCAACTACAGTAAGGACCTTCCTCTGGCCCAAGGAATCAAGTTTCAGTGAAGGTATTTTAGACCAACATTACTTGAAGTCTTGCTGCTGCTTCTGAAGAAAACAATATTTGCCTTGAATAAATATCATTTTGAATATGACAGTGGCTAATCTCCTAGGACCCCAAAGCCCTGACTAAATCAAGAGACTTATTTTTTAAAAATCAAATAAAATTGTCACAATATAGCCATCTTTAGTAAAAGATGAGTTGGATTTTTATGTCACTAGTTGTGTATGGTTTTTTTAGTCAATGATTTTACAATTAGAAAAAATAGTACGTGCCATGGTAGGAATTTGGAAAAATACAGAACAGAATAGAAATGAAAATAGAAGCCTTCACAGGAGATACAGAATGTTTCCTGAGCAAGTAAAGAGTTCTTGTGGGGAGTGTTGATTCACGTCGCCCTCCTCTAGCAGGTATTAGAAAGGGTGTGATTGACAGAGAGGTGTGTTCCTTATATGCCAAAGACCACAGCACATTATTCATGAGCAATGATTTGTTGCTGTGTTTAAAATGACAAAGGGAATTCACCACCATTTATGGCTCTTGCTCTTGGTGGCTGTGTCAGCTGGGAAGATATTTGCAGAATAGATAGAGATTTCGTTCCTGCTCTATAATCTGCCACCTGTGGGGAACTCTGAGACCCAAACTGCCTGTGCAGAATTGAAAGTGCATCTGGATTTCTTATGCAACTGTAGACCATTTTCTTTAGCTGTTAAACTTTTGCGGCTGCCCTTGCATTTGTTCTCAATTGACAGTCCTCAATTGGCCGTCCTCAGTGTACGTGGCAGCATGTGCTTGCAGAGAAGTGGGTAAATAGAGTCTGAGTCCTGCTTATTGAGAAGCTGCTCAGGAGCCTTTGGGTTGGGTCAGTCCAGAGGC